TTGGTATGTATGTTTACATTTGTTTTATTTCTTCTTTAATTCATGTTCTTGTTTGGTAGGGAAGGAGTGATCATAAACACTTCATTGAATTGGAATGGAAAGTTTTTAATGGCTTTAATTCCTTAGGGACTTTTTACTATTATCTTGTAATGGCCCTGTAAAAATTTTCTTCTAACGCATAACTCCGCTGGCTATATCATAGCCTAGTTCCATATTCCTTGAAGAGTTACCATTTGCTCTAAACCAGTTGATTAGTGTCTGCTAATTTTTTTTTGTTAGTAATTTAGAGAACGTACTTCCTGGTTCAGGTGTTATGTTGGATGCTCTTTGGGGAAGTGGGATATTTCATCAGCTCTACTAGTTACTTCCATGTAGTCTTTCAGAACTTCATTATAGGCTTGATGTTCAATCCTATTTTGAGCCAGTATATGAGAAAAACAAAGCAAAAAAGATTAGAAAAAATAATTTCCACATAAGTTATTCCTGAAGCACTTGACTCAAGTTTTTTAAAACTAAAACCCTGAAATGCCTTCCATCCTAGAGAATCGGTTAATCTGACATTTGAATGTTTGACAGAGATAGGCAAGCTCGCATATAAAAGACTCATCCCCTTGCAACCCCCCTCCTTTTCTCCTAACGCAGACAGAGAAAGCAGCAGCTCAGAGCAGACGTTCATCTGCAGCTTGTAATGGGAGTAGGCTCGAACTCTCCCTCCAGCTGTGGTTTTTCCTTATTATGATAAAGCAGCAGAAATGTCATTATGCCACACAAGTTGGGAACTACTTGAGAGATGCTCTGACAATGCAGACTTGGTGGCTTCTTTGTGGTGATCCTTTACCCAGGAAAGACGTTTTTCATCCTAAAGAAATACAATGGATTGCCCATTTGTAGGCATAGACAGTTAACAGGCTCTATTGCTTATAGGCTCAGAATAGGTTTTGTAGCTTGCGACAGACACGTTCTGTTTCTGTGGTGTCTTCGTAGCTCCCACTTTTTTATAATTTATTAGTGTGGAAAGTGCATAGCTTGTCCTTTAGTTGTCTTGTTTTCAGTTCTATACACCCATTTTTGTTTCTTGGTATTCAATGGCTTAACTTTACATGACCTTTTACAGGCATGCCTGAATCTCTGTAAGCAATTGCAGAGGAGCTAACCGTAAATAACAAACATTGCCTCTTGCAAACAGCAGCTAAAGCTTCCCTTTTGGTGTGGAAGATGAATAATGAAATTTAAAACTCTTCTTTCTGGGAATGCTTTGCACAGTATCCTCCATGCAGCGGGGTGCATGGTAATATAGCAAAGTTGCACTGAGCTAAATTTCACCAAATCAGAGACTTGAAGGAAAATCCCAGACAACTCATAGGGAACCACAGCTGGGGCTGAATGCCCCTGCATAAACCTTGCAGAGATCATCACTATGCAGCAATGCAGGATTTGATGTGCTCTGCTGCTGTCTTGTTTGAGTTCTCCTCAGGTTAAGCTGTGAGGCCACAGCAGAAGTAGAACCTATCAGCATTATTTAAAAGCACGTTTGTGGGCTCCAGTGAATTTGCATTGAACCATCTCTTAAGATGCAAGTGTGTCCTAACTGTTCTGTTCTAAACTGACTGCTTGTATTGGGCATAAACTGTTGGGGTAGAGGCTGTGGGGGTGCTCTGTGTGGGAGGAAGTCATGAACAGCTCCGTGCTGATTCCAGCTGGCTCTGAAACATGAAGAACAACCCAGTGCATCCCAAAACCTCAGCCAGACAGAGGAGCACCTGGCATCTCTGCTCAAACATATTTGAGAGTGACAGCTGCTAGGGACAGGAGACACGAGAGGAGACGTGGAAGGAGGTGCTTGAGAGACAAGAAGACACACAAAAGGAGATTTGTGAAGAGGTGCGTTTGGAGAACAGGGAAGAGACGCATGGAAGAGGACACACGTGGGAACATGGATGGAGGTGCTGTCTTGGAAGGAGATGCTCCATGTCAGAGGAAGTCCACTTCTGAGGGACAGTGGCCTACGGGTGACCCACGCTGGGGCAGGGACAGCCCCGAGGGACTGCAGTCCATGGGTGACCTGTGCTGGGGCAGAGACACTGCTGAGGGACCGCAGGGGACCCATGCTGGGGCAGGGACAGCCCTGAGGGACCGTAGGCCATGGAGGACCCATGCTGGAGCAGAGGAGCGGTAAGAAGGAAGGAGCCAGTGGAGGACAAGAGTAGGAAGCCCGGAACAGCAGAAGGAAACCCTGAGGCGCTGACCCCAACCTCCTGTGCTGCCTGTCGCTTCGCCGAAGGGATCGGGAGGGCATGAATATAACAGTAGCAAGAACAAGGGAAACTGAGGCTAGGAAGGAGGAGAGAGAGAGCTGTTTGACTGAAGTGGAGCCTGGAGAAAGGTTTCCCTAAGTGTTTGTTTAATTGTTGGGGTTTTCTCTCTCTCTCTCTCTCTCTCTCTCTCTCGCTTTTTTTTTTTTTTTTCCCCTCAACACCTGAGTCAGTAATTTAACTTATTGCCAATTAACATAAACTTTTAATTAAGTGAGATTCCCTTAGTTGAGACTGTTTTGCCCACAACACTGCCCTAATTCTGGAAGGCGTTCCAGCGCAGCCGTTACCTGCATGAAAAAAGCTGATGGAAAGTGTAACAGTAGAGATAAGTGTGGTATGTAAGGAATTTTGCCGTATGCTTAGTTGGTAGTCTCGTCATTACGAGTAAATCATTTGTTCCGTTTCACAAAATGGAGGGGAGTATTCAGCATTAGGCATGCACTCTTTTCTGCTCACACAGCTTTTTTTTTTAATCAAGTTGGAACTAAGCAGCACTAATGAACTTGCTTTACTTTAGCCTTCATGTGAAAATTGGGTTTTCATACTTAATCACTAAAACATGACAGAAAAAAAAATCTGAAGCATGTACCACCTGTTTTTCCTTTCATCTTGGTTCATTCATTAACTTCCTCCTATTAAAAGCCCTCCAAGACACAATTAACCCTTTTTTAATACTGTGAGACTTGAAATGATCATTAAAACTCATTAAAGAGGCGAAACTTATTTTCAAAGGCACTTTAATATTAAATTTTCCTGATTTCTTTTCTTGTGGTTAGGGTGGAATACTTAGGATACAGCCATCATGGTTACGGTGTTAACTGGCTATTCAAGTAATTAGCAATAATTGCTTGCTTAGCACTGCAGAACCAGAATCTGGTTTTAGATACTTTGAAATAATTTTCTATAATGAATATTGTCTTCTGAGCGTAGGCTATTCTACTAATGATACTGTCAGCAAGTCCCTTTTTTTTTTTTCTAGCAAGAAGAAAATGTAATTGAGGATAAAACACATTACTGAAAGGCTCGGGTGTTTTTTCTCTCCATGTTCTCTTGCATTATGGATTGTGCTGTTACGATAAGAGTGCAAACACTTAAGTTTTCACATTTATTGAATTAGTCTTGTTTTTAATGTCTTCTGAAATGCACAGGCATGCAGTCAATTGTATATTAACACTGACCTCAGTGCTGTTGCACAGGCATAAGTGAAGGCTGAAGTTGGTCTCATTTAAAAAAAAAAAAAAAAAAGGAAAACAACTATTTTTGGGTTCTATCAGTTGCCCAGCCTACTGCAGGCATTATATAAGCAATAGTCTTAGAGTTTAGTTGTTGGTTAGGATAGAGAAAAGTCAGAAAAGGCTTCCAAGCTTATAAGCAGTGTTATTTAAAAAACACGTGTTTTTTGCGAGATGGAAGTGGTAGTGACTAATCGCTAAGAGTTTTAGAAATGCAGTGGTGACTTTAAAGCAGCGAACTGCCTAGGTTTTTGGTTTATGGCTGCAAATGCCTTAAAACTGTCATGAAACACCATTAAACTGTTAACTTACTTGTACTGCTAATATTAGCAGTGCAAAAGTGGGGTGTACCAGTATGATTGTAGTATTCAGTATAAATTTTATTAGGCACACTCAGTTAGCAGATGTACTAGTGTATCATACAATCATAAGATATTTTATAATCTAGCTTTTATATTAACAGGGGGAATAATTTTGATAGCTTATTACCTCACAAAAATGAGCATAGTGGATCTTTACGTGGGTCGTTTGTTGCTTAACTTCTAACTTTGTCTTAAAGCTGTGACTAAAATTGCCCTGCGACAGAATGTGCTTTTGATTATTCTGAACCACATTTGATAACTGAAATTGTCATTAAAACTAGTTGTTCCATTTTCTAAAACATTATTTTGAAAACAGTTGTGTTTTTTTCTTTAAAACAGTGGCCTATTTGGACTATTTGTGTTCTGAAAGCACTAGTTCTTATGTTCTTATCTCCTTATTTTACTTAAAAATTTTATATAATCAGTAGAATGGGATTTTCAGGAGTGCTCGGTATTGGCCCAACTCTATCCAACAGAAGCTAGAAAAACAGAGGACTTAGGCTGATCCTTACAAATCTGCCTGTAGCTGCATGATGATATTCTTGTCCACCTCCTCAGTGAAGTTAAGGAGGTTTAAAATCGTATTTAAAATTCTAAGCTGCAAAAGTGAAAAATATGATAATGTTCTATATAGAGAGACAGCCTGATAATAGCCTATAAAAGGGCAGATCTTAAAGCTGCAGTCTGCTAGACTTCCTTTTATTCTATGGAAAGCAAAATCTGATAGAGGCAAAAATTTTGAAAGAAAAGCGTTAACGAGAAAGTGTATTCGGCTGTATCCATACCCAGAGGTAGGAGGGAAATATAAATGGGAAATAGAACGTGTATTGCATTGAGAACAACTTAGACAATTCAAGAAACAATACAAGTCGTATGAAAATGTATTACTACTAATTTCTCCCTCATTAATAAAATACCTTAATTCTAATGCACCGTGCAACTATTCAAACCCATATTTACAGCTTAGCACATATGAATTTGGAATGCAAAGTTATCTCAGCTAAAATGATTTGCTAAAATTACTTTTCAGTATATTAGAAACAAATAATGTGCCTTCTCATGATAACATTATTCTTATTCTTCTTGTTAAGGTGTGGGATGCTGTAGATGCAGGCTGCTGTTTAAAAACATACTCCTGTCACTACGGCGCCGTTCGAGCTGCCAAGTGGTCGTCTTGTGGAAGAAGAATTCTCAGTGGGGGCTTTGATTCCGTGGTTCATTTAACAGATGTTGAAACAGGTAAAGATCTTATAGGTGTACATTTTAGCCCTATTTGTTACATTTTTTTGAGTCCAGCTAACTTTTTAAATCTTATTCTTTCTTCTGAAAATAAAGGTAAACTCTCCACAGATCACAGTTAGAATTCTTGAAATACGTCCTCACTAAAAAATAACATGACAATTTAGAATAGCTTAAGGTATTTAAGAAATCCAGGCTATCTTTACCTTCATGAACACATGTAAGCTTTGGGTATCTGGCATAGAAGAACCATGTACTGTTACCATGACAAGACATTGATTTTATCAGACTTTGTCTTTTATTTTCAGTCTCACTGCAGCAATCTTCTCATTTATATTTTCAGGTAAATTCTACTAATGCGAATGAATTTAAATTTGAATATAATGCTCACAAATTATAAACAGAATGGTTACTCTCATTAATGAAACTTATAACAGTAGGATATGTTTTTTGTGCCCAAGCTGTTTGAATAGACTCATACATCAGTGTATGAATGGAAAAATCTTATTTTATAAAATTCTAGAACAAATTCCAAAGATATAGAACTCCATTCTTATATTTTAATTCTGAAAATATCTTTAAATTAACTATCCAGTAACAGTAACAGAATAACAGTCCCTTTTGGATTAGGTTGCTTTTAGTGTTTCATTTGCTAGTCTAGTGTTTCAGATAATGGCAGTAGTATCTGTAAAAAGTTATGTTTACCAAGTTTAAAAACAGATAACCTTATAAATGATTCTTTCTTTACTGACTTAAGCATTAACTAGTATTCCGAACTTAGATATTCTGTATGTGTAAGGGCAAAATGAGTACTTACAAATCTTGAGAGTACTAGATGTACGTTATTGCTTTATTTGAAGGGCAGAGGATTCCTTGACGCTTCTGTGAGTTGTGGTTGTAATGTTGATGTTTGGACCAGACTTAATGTTACAAACCTGATTTGGAAAAATGTGACATGAATGATAGAAATTTTATTCTAATTTCATACACATTCAGCTCAGTTTCTACTTTTTTCCCTTGTTGTAAAGTTGCTCTGTTTTTCATACAAGTCGTTCAGTTCTTCCAGAGAAACAGAGCAAGCAGTTTGCCTCTGGAATCCAAATCAAGCTGGTATGAGAAGCCTCATTGCTATGTGAAAAAACTCTAAGGCAGCTATAAGGTTTTGATTTACATTAGTTCACAGAATCATTCATTTCTCCTCACTTTTCATCAGCGCTGAGAAGATTTCTTCTTTGATTGACTTCAGATAGATATTAGAGCTGTTCCTTCACAAAGGAGACTTTTTATGGGACTTGGCCTTAATTACTTTTCCTTGCTAGACTGAACTAACTATCACTATGTTTAAATGCAGTAAGTGCATGCCGACAGGGCTTTATAAACAGTAATACTGTCTTCAGTGAGTACTTTTGCTCTGCACTCGTCTCTTGCTCTCGTTCTGGTTCAAAATTTTTTCTAGATGTGTTTACTGAACTCTAATCTTTCTTGTCCTTGTTTTCGGTGTAGTTTTTATGTTACTTCTGTGTTATAAAAATTATTGCATCTTCTTTATCAAAACAAACCTAATAGTCTGAAGAGAATTACTTTTGAAAGTTTCAGAATGGTTGCAAGTACAACTTAGTACATGGAGCATTGTTTAACTGTTCACTTCTTTTTTTTGTTATTGTTTTGAGTTGTTTTTCTGTTAGGAACATAGCTGCTGCCTTATTAAATCCAAATTGTAGTCTAGCTAATTGTTTGTTCTGCATCTAATAACAGCTAGTTACAAGATTCTTCAAAGGAAAGTGCAAGCTTTGTTGTAACAAACAGTGCTAGAATGATTCTCCGTGAAATTTTGCTCCTAAGAATGGACTTAAGTTTGAGTATCCCTCTTCCTAAGACTTTTGCTTTGTCTTGGGTGACTCTTTTTAAACTCTTTATGGTTTGAATAATATCAGAGGAGAATGCTGAAATCTCGTCATTAATCAGCAAAAATAATTTGGTGTATTTTTTCAGTCTTATCTGAACTTAGTGGCAGAGAAATCCTGATGCAAAGGTAGAAGACATATCCATGAAAGCCTAATCTGCAATTTTATACCATCAAACCTTTTTCCCTTGTCCTGATAATTAATGAAAGTTCTGGATGGCCAGAGATGGAAGATACTGCAAGGTGGAAAAATTGGCTGACAGGAACCTTATGAGGTTCATCAAGGGCAAATGTAAAGTCCTGCATCTGGGATGGAATAAACTTGTGCAACAGGACAGGCTGAAGGCAAACTAGCTAGAAAGCAGCTTTGCAGAAAAATATTTGAAGGTCCCAGTGTTAAATATGAATCAGCAGTGTGCCCTTGCAGCAGAGAAGGCCAACTGCATCCTGGTCTGTATTAGTGAGTGCGTTGCCAGCATACAGAGAAGATAAAACCAGGATCTTCTCACAGATGCACAGTGAAAGGATGAGAGGCAGCAGACACAGGTCTGAACACGGGAAACTTTGACTCAGCTTCAGGGTGGTCGAACACTGAAATAGGCTGTCCAGAGAGACTGTGGAGCTGCAACACTTGCAGATGTTCAGAACTCAATTGGACAGGTCCCTGAGTAACCTGCTGTAACTGGGCCTGCTTTGGGGTAGGGAACTGGACTACATGACCTCATACAGGTTGGAAGGGACCTCCAGATTCTGTGATGCTGCGGTGAAGAACACGGAAAGAAAAGAATTCAAACGATTGAAGTACAAGCAGTTAACTTGCCCTGGTTTGGTGAGTTTCAGAATACATGCTGTTATTCAAGTTGTTTTTTTTTTTTAACTCATTTTTTTTCTAGATGTCATCCATTATCCTTGCATCAAGCTCTACACAAATATGGCTTCCTTGGAAAGCTGTTATTATACATTTTCTGCAGAGTATGTGTCTGATCCAAAATATTCATAAATGGTTTAAGGAGCTGGAAGCTGTTTGTATGAGTATTTCTGTGGGTATAGCTAGCGTGGTGCAAATGCAGTACTGTAACATGGGATTTCATAGATGTCTCTAGATCCAAAAAATTCAACTGAGCTGCCTTTTTTACTGTTTCCCTATCTTTTGTCACCTATCTTTTTTCACCTTTGTCACCTTTTTAAAAAAATCTGCAAAACTTAAAATGGTTATATAAACAGCGGTAACATATCATATTTTGTCAGACATATTTCAGTCAGCAGATTACATTCAAGTCTAATGAGCTTAAGCAGTGTAATTTTCAATACAGTAAAGTGTAAAAGACAACAAAAATGCCCATTCTGTGTAACATTGCAGAGACTGCTGATTACTGTTTTTTATTGTCCTATTTCGTGTGTGTTTTTGCATTATAAAAATACAGCTCTTAGCAGTATTAATATCACAGCTGTGAAACCCTTCAGTCAAATGTGAACCAGGGAGGCTCTGTGGTTGTAGTCATCTCTGTTAACGCTACATACTCTCGATCATTTTCTAGTAGTAGTAGTTCAGGTAGTTTGTTGTTTACAGAGTAATGGTAGCGCTATATTCTGTGACAGCTTGGAGCATTTTATTCCAAGAAAACTTTCTTTTGAAACAATTTTAGATCAAGTACACTTGACCTTTAACCTTCTGTTATTTCCAGATATAATGGAGATGCTCTCCCCGCTTTGGAAAGGCTATTGCATTTTTAAAATTTTATTTATTACTATTTTATTTTTGGAATGTGTTTTATACATCAGTGGATTCTTCATTAGTCGCAAATGAATCACTATAATAGCATATGCAGAACATTGACTGGGAGAATATTTGCATATTATAGGTATTTTTCATTTCTTTAATGTTCTGATAGAGGGAGTGTTCCAAGAAATCCTGGAGCACTTCCGAAGCTGCTGAATGCTGCAGTTGTGTTTCACGTCATGGACTGAGCTTGACTTCGACTGTAACTTCTTCAGACTTACAGTGAGGAATTTAATACTGTGGCCAGGCTACTGAAATTAAGCTGTTGGCTTTAAAGGAAAGGTCAGATGATATATAACATGGCCACTTGAAGCTAGGTGTTTTTATTTTATTTTATTTTAAATTATTTTGATCTTAAATGAGCCTTTTGCATCTCTAAGAGCCTGAATTTTGCTTTCTTTATTTTCTTGTTTATATCCTAACAAACACACCGTTATTATCATTAGTGTAATTGTATTCATTCAAGTAGAAGTTTTTGTGCTCATACATAATAATCATCTCAGGAGAGTTGTGACTTTCTTCTCTTATTCCCCTCCCTGCCAAGGTATTATCTGACACTTTAGAAAAAGAGTAGATTGAGGTGTTTTTTTTTTTTTTCTTTTGCATGCACATAGGTGTCTTTAAGATGAGGTCACAAGGTTCCTAGTAATAGAGGTTTATTTAGATGTCACTGGCCAAAAAAAATTCTTTTAGCAGTCTTAAATAACATGCTGAACGTAGTTCAATGGTCAAATTCCATTAGATGGGAGGTAACAGCATTTTGTTACTTTTTATATTCTCAGATGTAAAGTCCTTGCAATAAGAAGAGAGAAAGATACTTATTTTGGGGATGTTCTTGAGAGTAAAAGTTGAAATGATTTTAATATTTCAAGCAACTCTGCTAGAGGGAGACTTGTGTCTATGGTGGAGGAAAAAAAATTAGGAAATGCATGTAGTAAGTGTAAGTTCAGTTCTTGGAAAAATAATCAAACAATTTGTAAGCACAGCAAGATTTAAAAAAAAGAGAAGTAACAGCCAACATCAATTTGTTAAGAACAAATCCTGTCTGATCAATCTAATTTTCTTTGCTCACTGTTGCGCATGAGAGAGCAGCAGACATCATAGATTGTGACTGTAATGAGTTTTTTTTTTCATAGTCTTATGCCTTTTTGTAAACAAAGTAGGGAAATATGGTCTACTCTGCAAGATGAGTGCTGAAGTAGTTAAAAACTATTCATAGTATTTATCAGGAGTTTACTCTCATGCCGTTATAGGTTTTAGACTTCACTTTTCTTTACAGCTTAGTGTAAGGAAGTGGATGTTTTTGGATTACTTGGTGTGTGAACCTGAGGACCACTAAACACAGTTGCAAAAGCATCCTGTGCTCAATAACTGTGTTGATGTTCTGTGGAAAAAAACACAATGTTAAATAGCCTTTAAAATATCTGATTTCATAGTTGAGCAGTTTCACAGTAGGCTGCAGCATAAAACAAGCAGAAACATATGTTCAAGGTCTCTTTAAAGAATTTTTTCACACTGTGTATGTTACTGATGGGCCTTTAATGAATGAAGAAATGAATTAAAGCACTTTAGGATTATGAAACACATTGTAAAGATGTAGTAGATATTGTTATCAAAATTGTGAAAATTAAAGATTGGAAAAAACATTTGCTTTCTGCTTTGGAAAAACAACCTCTCACACAGGAAAATGATCTGTGGTATGGATTTTTCCTCAATTAGCTAAATAGGATTTTCAGAGAACATAATTTTCTACAGCCTGTGAGTTGACTGCATCTTTACTATGCCACCTCTAGGAAGTAAAATACAATAAATGTATATACAGTAAATGTACAAGCTTATTCAGTGAAATTTGTTGTAGTGTATTATGGATAAGGGAGTCTTCAGCTAAAAAAAGACATCTCTTCCAATATATAAAATCAGACCCCCAAAGGCTGCATATGCATTTCATATTAATAAGCTTAATAATTGTAAACAAAAGAATACATACGACAGAGAATGATAGAAACATGGAGCAGGATCTTGAGAAAACATTGAAATTGGATTTCCTACACTGTGGGGCTAGGTCCCATCATAGTACAGTTAGAGGTGCAGTGTGAAAAGCAGCAAATTCTGTACATAGTGGGTAAAACACACTAAATTAAATTAGGATAAAAAAAACCCGCTAATAGTTGAAATCGCTATTTCACAATATTGAATTGCACAAACTATTCTGCTGCGCATCATCTTCCAAAATCATCTGATCCATTCCTCAGATGAGTATATGTAGTAAGTTATTGAGGTTCTGAAAAATTTTCAGTGATGAACATTTCATAACTGTATAGAGAATGCACCTCAGCTGTTTAGCCCTGCAGTTTTAATACCTAAAAGGGAAGGATTTAAGAAATATACTTATGTACCTGTTAGGAAAGACCATTTCACTTTTGATTATAGCAGAGAATTTGATTCAGGCGTGTTTATATGACAAGCAGTCTGGTTTAGATTCCGTATATTGTATAATTTTAGTTCTAGTAAAAGGAGAGTTTCATTGGCATACTATTGTGATTCTCCCCTTCTGAGTATTTTATCTACTGCTTCTTTGCTCCCATATTTTTATTTTCTACATTCCAATCTTTTTCTTATTTTCTGTGACATGGCAGCGAAATGAAATGTATGTGTATACCTAACAATGCCAAAGTCTTCAGAAGAGTATTTGCTGATCTTCCAAAAACAGAGGTTAAATTGAGTTTCATTTTGGGGACAGAGGGAATAAGAAAAGAGGGGTTGATTTTAAAGTATTAATCAAAGAACCTGAGTTTTTAAGATTAATGCATCATGATTGTTCCTCACACCAGTCAAATACCTAGCATGGTTAATATCCACATCAGACAGTAAGGTACTGGCTTAGCATAGGAAAGAAAGCAGGTTAAAAAGTATACAGGTAAATTAGATGCTCTAGTTGTTTGCATAAATTTTATTTCTAAATATCAGACGACTGCCTGTAATGATCTCAGTGCCATTAGTGACTTTCACAGAGAGCTTTTGGATAAATAACAGACTCTAGAAGACAAGAAAAGGGCAAACACATCTTTAAAACATGGGGAGATAGGGTAAGGAATTAGAATTTAGGTTCTGGAAAAGTACTGAGCGAATGATCAAATTATTTGGAAGTAGAGGATGAGATGGGGAAAATGGAATTAATAACAAATTATGTCAAATCAAGTTTATTTCTCTCTGTGGAATAGTAACAGATCTTGTAGTTAGTAGAGGACATACATCTTGAATTTAATGCTTGTCTTTTTTGGTCACGTCTTATGTGACTTTCTCATGCCTTAGGCTAAGGAAAGTGTTTATTCAGAGTAGTTGCTGGGAGCACAGTGGGAGGAAAATGTATGCACTGAGGGGAAAAAAACAATGTCTTGCTGTGCAGGTGAACAGAGATCTCAGTAAAGTCAGCTAACCAATTGATGCGTATCAAAAGATTACAAGATGAGTTTTACTGGATCACTTATGTGTATATCTAATGTCATTTGGGCAGTAAACTTTATGGAGATTTGTGACTGCTTAATCTGATGTTGTATGTCCTTTATGAAGCCATTTGACAGCATTAGTACAGGTAGGCTGCAGTGCAGTAAAGGCATCTTGGTTGTACTCCTGGAGTTTTTGTTATACGAGGTACTGGTAGGAACTAAGTTCCTTTGAAGCAAGATGCTATTAAACTAGCGAGAGAGTCTCCATATGGAAGTTCAGTATTTTCTCAAGTGCTCTGGATGACAGAGCAAGATTTGTGTATGTGCAAATGAGGCCTGATAGTGGCATAAACGCGAGCGATCTCTTCTTGCTCCTGCTCCTGATGATTCTAATACTTTCTTCCTTCACTTTCCCCATCTCCTCCCAGTCATCAAGATGCTAAAAGCTCCTATGAAGAGAGAGAGAGTCACCGTTGTGTATAGTGATTCTGTATAGTCAGACTCTGTATAGTCAGGCCCTTGTGTATAGGGCCTCTGCTGCCCTTGTTACTTCTCGTTCCTCTTTTTGGGAGGAGGAACTTCATGAACTAAATTAAGTGTTTCCTTCAGTATTGAAAGAGGCTCTGTAGATCTTACATGGGTCATTGGGGACAATCCATAAAAAGCTGCAAAAGTCTATGTCCGTGTAGAATGGCAGTTCCACCCCCCTACACGCTCTACACTTCCTGCAGTCTATTTTCCCCTGCCCCTACTAGCTCAAAGAGAACACACATGATGAAGTAAAATCTTCTTTTTTTTTTTTTTTCTCCTTTAAAATGGATAAATACAAGTCTTTGACAAGTCTTGACTGTGTAAGTTGAGTTCAGCAGATGGGGAAAATGGAACTGATAATGAAACCAATTAATTTGGTTACAAATCATGAAATTAACATGGAAAATATATATGAGAGGTTTTTGATACTGTTCACCTAAGGGTAAGCATTTACACTCGTCACTAACTTTTTTTAGCACAAAGTATTTCTAGATGTTTAAAAAAACTTGTCTTAAGGCAACTCCCATTTGCTGAAAATTTAGATTGATGAATATTTTAAGAAGCCCTTGTCATAGTATTTTAAGTTTTTGACTTCTTCAGCATCTTCTTCACTGTGGCTTATGCAGTCACTTTATTTAATGTAGTTCTTTACACATGATATGTAAAATATAAAATGCAATTGAAATTATGAAGCCAAAAAAAAATATTTTTATCTCCGTCCATGCTGCTATTCCAAAATGATATTTCAGTCAAGGTATATTACTATCATGAATTTGTTAGGATAAAAGCAGTGAACTGTGGAAAAAATCCTATAAGTTAATCTAGCTGAATTCCATTGCCTTTGAAAGTTTTTACAAGCTAACTGATATTAACCACAGGATCCTGCGAAGATTAGTGCACACAATTAGATGTTGAGAACAGTGTAGCCCTGGGAACAGCCATTGCCTTGGTATGATGGTATGTAAATTATTTCCCACTTTGAAGATGAAGTTTCTGCTCTTACTTCACAGAAGTATAAGTAAACAACTCAAAAAAACAGTGGAAATTAGTTTAGGATGTGGGATTTGTATACAAACAGCAGTCGTCTTCTCTAGTTGTAATTTTTATCCTACTGAAAGAAAGCCTGTGGCTTCGCTGTGTAGAAACATTCATCCGTTGGATTCGTAGACTTAGCCCAGCATGTCAACTGAACTGGGACCTCTGTGGAGGTCTCCTCCTTAGTATGCAAATCCCTTCGTTCTCTCACAGGATGTTGTAGAATCCCATGAGCAGGATGAGTTGAATGTAGATGGAAATCAGTGAGTTCAGTCTCATAATTTCGGTAAATCCAAGTAGTCCACGATACTTGATGTGCTAATATAAACATATTCACCTTTGATTGCCCAAGTATTTTTGAAATTGGATTAAAATGAGTAAAATATTTCAGTTTATGCTCAAATTTTCATCTTCGTTTCTCTTTTTGTTTTAGGGAAGCAGATATTTAGCAGCAAAAATGAGTTTAGGATCAGCACACTGAAGTTCCACCCTGCAGAGTCAAATATCTTCATTTGTGGAGGGTTCAGCCCAGAAGTTAAAGCTTGGGATATAAGGAATTGTAAGGTAATTAAAATATTATCTTTTTCTTCCCCCTTTTTTTAGTTTATTTAACGTACATTAATTCCAAGGAGCGATGAAGGACCCTTTTAAGGGAAAGGAGGTAAGTTAATTATGCTTGGCAAGTGCTCAGATGTGAGCAGTGAGTCAGGGCTCCACTTGTGGTCATTGCAGAACAAAACACTTTTTAAAAGCCAGTTTTATTTTTTCTAAGTGTTCCATCAGTAAATATTGGGGATTAAATGTTTTAAAAACTAACATGACCTACAATTTTCTGGCAGAATTTTAAAACTAAAAATAATCTCATACCTTTTAAAAAAAAAAAAAAAAAGAAAAGAAAAAAAATCACCAGGTCACATTCTTGTTGGTATCTTTGACTAATATGTTACTCTGTTTTTTGTGTTGGTGTCATGTATTCAAGTTTTAGCATTTAGGATGTTTCCTAAGTTGGATGTGCTATGCATTAGTAAACTGGTAGATGCAGTGTTTGGCTGAGATGTTATTCTGAAGTGTATTGCATTGGTCGTTGATTGTGTTGCTTTTGTTGACATGAAGCTCTGTAATGTTTCTGAAGCATGAAGAGAAAGACTGCACACAACAAATATCAATTTTTTTGCTTCTCTAAATATGGGTAATATTCAGAATGTATTACATTTAGAATATAATGTATTTCAAACTGTAAAAAAAGAAGAAAAGAGCAGATGTGTTAGTCGTAAGCCATATGGTGACTGTAGTTCTTTTAACTTGTGTGTGTTTTGGTCAGGATATGTGTGCGTGTACCTTTTGTGTAGAAGCTTGGAGTAGTTTTACATTCATGAAAGATCACACAGAGGCATGTATGGCCTTTGCTTCTACTCTATCGTGAATCATAAAGGATGGTGTGCTCCCAGCTGTCATTCAGAGTTCAGATGAGACTAGAGCTGTGTTCCCTAAATGTGGAAAGGAAAGGCGAGCTGATGTCCCTGTGCACACAATAGGGCATAGAACAATAGCAACTGTAATCCGAGTAGTTCTTTGATTTCCTCTTGAATTTCTGTTCTTGCAGATCCTACTTATCCTGGTTAGCCATCTATTTGCTCTTGAGGGTGTCTGAACAAAGCTAAGACTGCGTGTCTGAGCTCTGTGTCTGACCTTGATGCGCTAAACAGAATAATAGTGGAGAGATATAGGCAAATATATTTCATATATGAGGACTCTTAACAGGCGAGCTCTGAAGATGTTATGGGAGTCACTTTATTAAGGAACTGCAGTATTCTTATGTAATCAGCAATCTATTTTCTGTGCTGCAATTGCTCCTTTAGATCTGTCACTGGTGTTTGATGAAAGTGTTTAATTCAGTCTGGGTAATGGGATTGTTTGGTGAGTATGTAGGATCTGTAACTTTAGGCGTCCCTCGCTTCGATGAGATCTCAAACGAAAAGCATTTGTGAGTGCGCATCTGGAGTGCCAAGTCTGAGACTACTCTAAAACAAATTTATTGTGAGTTTCAGAGATACAGTGCTAACATGAAAAACTGGATAAAAAGTAGAATTAATAGATAGAATTTTTCCCATCTGTCATGCTTTTATGATGGTTAGTTTTCACTGATAAGTATATAAAGAGATACTCAAAACAGTTCCATTAAGGAAGATAATTCTAGTTTTAGACTGTAAAACAATGAATACTTAAGATGAAGAATACCTATGTAACTTTTTTTAAAAGTTGTGATACTTTTTGTGGGAATGTTTTTCCCTGCCTGCCCCTTCACCAGCACTGCAGTGGTATACAGTACTCTGATATTGTCAGTAAATGATTTTTGTATACCGTCTCTAGAATCAGGAACTGGTGGAACATGGAAGTATATATGACACAGGTGGAAAATAATACCAGTTCATAAGGTGTTCATTGAGTATGATCACAGGTCACCCTGTACATTTACTGTAGAAGAAAAGCTATTTTTCTTTTCTTTTTTTTTTTTTTTTGGCTGGGGTGAGAGGAGTGGGAGGGGAGAAAGACTAATGAAAGTCTTTTCTCCTGAACAGCAGGGCCAGTGATTCCATAATGTGCAAATCAGGTAGGGAATATAATTTTTCTTTCTTGAAACTCTCGTAAGAGAAGACCTAGTTGTGTGCAGGAGGTGCAGTCTGTAACTATATACTTAACTGTCCTTTTTAACATAAAGGACCCGTTTGTATGTCATTTATGGTGAACTTCCTTTAAAAAGTATTCCAGGAGATAAATGGGAAAATGGGTATAGATTTTTTGTAAAAATTAGATTCTTGACCATAATGTCAAATTTGAGATATTTGATCCTAGTCAAGAAGATGATGACAGAAGTGGAGGACAGGACATGCTTTCTGAGACTCTCTAACCTGATGCAATAAGCTTTCCCATGAATGATACTATGAATTAGTGGGCTAAATAACAGATACTACTGCTTGTGCTAAATAAACTGGTTCTGAATCATCTCCTGAGTCTACTGCTCTCCTTTTGTTGATATCTGTGCTAATGCTTGGTATTTTGGTTTTGTCTTGGAATGGTGTTACAGTTGTACCAAGAGAAATGACCTGAAAAGTGCTGTTCTTCTTGGGTCCTGCTTCCTCTTCATGAAATTTCAGTGTTTCAGTATTGCTTTCCCTTGGTACCAGACAAGGTATCAAGCAATACTTTATTCCAAGCAAAGAAGACACTAAACGTGTTCATCACTCGAGGAAAGCAACTCCTTCCCTTGTTAGATTTGTGCCTTGACTCAGCTACAACCAAAATTCTATATTGATTTGTCTGACCTATTTGCTTATGTTTCAGGCCTGTGTAACCATAGCTGCACAAAACAGTTCCTTTGGAACATGAGCAGATTTGGGACAGCATGCGCTTTTAACCTGGAAAGAGGATGCAGAGCAGTGAATGCATCCGATGCTGTAACTGCCAAATATTGATAGCCGGTTTAGCTTGCTGCATCACAAAAGATGCCTCCTGCAGAAATGTGTGCTTGTCCTTGCTACAAGACTGGAGTATGTTGATTGACAAGGGGCAGTTTGATAGCCTTGGGATAGCCTTCTCAGATAAACTGGTTTTGAAAAGCAGAAAAGGGGAAATACCTTCAGATCCCTCACCGATGATCAACATTGCTGGAACAGGGAGAAGGCAAGCAGAGAGGGTGTAGGACGTGGTTTGCATGAGGCGTTATGGCAGTACGGAGCAGGCACGTGAACTGAGAGGGAGATTACAGTAGAAGATGAAGAGATAAGGTGAGTTTAAAATTGGTGAGGTGTTTTAGTTTATAAAAGGCACTGTTATAGGAAGGCACAGGAGCAGGCCAATACTGGTAGATTTTAATAGCTCACCCATTTGTATCTTCTGTAATTCTGATAAAACCTAGCCTTGCTTGATATGATGTTCTGCTATAATTTAATTCTAATATTTTTATGTAAACTACATGTCTAGCAAAATTGCAATGAAGAAAACTGCTCAGTTCTCAGTACTTTACTACTGTGCAGTGGTAAGAAACGAGAGTTATGAATAGAATCACTCTCTTGCAGCGTTGCAGGGGATGGCATAGAAGCTGCAGGTGTGTTTGCATGCAGACCCACTAGCGAACACTTTGGCAACATCCCTAATACATTTCCAGAGGACAAACAGGCACTGTAAAAGCCATTTATGTTTATATAGGCTAATAGAAGTGAAATGTGAATACTTACGCTTTATTAGTTTGACTATACATTCACTGTAAAGCAGCGCTTAGGTTTTCTACTCATTAGAGACTTTATCTTTGAGAGTCAAACAGTATTTTATTGTACCTTATGCTTTGCTGCCCAACTGCCTTTTTTTTTTTTTCCCTCCTCCTCTTTGCTTACTGATCTGAGTATGGTGCCTGTTTTTAATGGATGCAATGAGGTATTTGTCTTTCTATGGGTCATTCTGTGTCCTCATTTTAATATTATTGCCTATGTAGAGGGTACTCAGGATTGTTGTATTATGAAATTTTTCTTTTGGACTCAGAATATTGCTGTTGTTTGATCCCATTTAATGATTTTCTCAATAGGCAGTGCTTTCTGTGGTCAAAATACTGTATATAGCAAAACTTAAACTAGCAGAATAATGCATTTTTATCTCAATAATTGGCCATGTGCTCGTTTTTGTAATGCTGAAGTTCCATCCTTAGGACCTGCCTTAAAGAACTGTTGAATGGTGAAGAATGAAAACGCTGGTTGCTTGTGTAGCTAGTCCTGCAGCACGCTGCTTAGAAAGATTTTGTGCAACTCCATTTCTATAAGCTGATGCTAATGAAAAGATAATGATAGCATTGCATAATATTGCAAAGAAATAATTTACTGTCCAAAAGAATAAATGAATGAATTCATGTGTATTCTGACATGCAGAATAGGAAAGATTTTAGGCTTAGTGAAACACAAAACCAGCCTGTTTCTTTTGTACCAATTCTATACCTGATTTTCTGAGGAAGGTTTTCGAAGGCGTTACCTGCTTTGTTCATTGGGACGCAATTATATTCATGCAGAACTTTGTCAGTCAGAAAACTATCCAATTAAGCAGTGCATTAGGAATATCGGTTTTAATAAGAAGCAGTGTTTAATCAGCTTAGGAAGTGGAAGGTGTAGCTTTAGCCTGGAAATATATACTGATCTTTTTTTCACACATTTGTTAATTTGAAAACCATAGTTTTCTAGTTATTGTGATTGACTTAAGCAACAGGGTATTTTACTGTCTTACCCTAAAAAATTTCCAAAGAGGAGAAATACAGTTTGTGTTGTCCTTTGTTTTTCCTGTCTGAGGTAGCCATATCTCAGCAGATTGTTAGGCACCTAAATTCATGTTCATTTTGAAGTAGTGTTTTGATTTGAAGAACTATTTGTGAATGTTGAAGGTCATAGCTGAGTCGAAAAAGGGGGAAAAATAATCAAACTCTGATTGATTATGGCTCCCTCTTACAGACTTAATACCACGTATGCAAAATAATGTAGTTACATTGCAAACTATCAGCTATACAACGGTTTGATTAGGTGTGAATT